AGTGGTGCGACCTTCGTTGGCCTGGAAGAGCAGCAGCGGTGCCACCTCTAGAACCTCCATGTCAAAGGCGTGCTCTGGAAGCCGCCACATGAGGTAGAGGACTCGTCATCTTCTCTGCCATCGTCCTCCCATCTTAGATCTGTCGTTTCCCGACTCTCACACGGCGTCTAGGAATTGTCTGTTCACGGCGTCTCGGAAGGCGATGGGACTCGAGGAGGTGGACGCGCGCGAGTTGCGACGGCGGACGGTGACTCGGTTCTCGGAGGGTCTTCGATCTGTGCGTTTTGTGGAAAGAGAGGCGATCGATGACGCGATTCGACACATCTACTCTCCAGATCTGAAGAATGGTTGGGGGATTCATGTCGTTCAGGAGGTCAAGTTGTTGACAAAGAAGGAGGATCTGCTTTTGGAATGGTTCTGCGACAGTGAGGAAGATGAGGTTGAATCACACAAAAGGGTGTTGGTGAGAAGGTTGATCTCTGGTTCTCTAGAGAGGAGAGAAGATGAGGTTGGAGTTGGTGAGGAAGAGGAAGGGGAGAAGGTTTCCACGCAACTGAGATTTACTGTGCCACATGTTATTAAATGCCAGCTCACCATGCCACAAGGCAAAAGATTTAACGTCGTCTACAACAATTAACGGCAAGGACGTTATTACTTCAATTTTACATAAAAAGGGACCTAAACGAGCTTTTTCAAAATACGAGGACCTAACTGACACAAGTCTACATAAATAAGGACATCCGAAATTATTAAACCTAAAATAAATTATAAAATAATAATTTATTTTAATTTTTGAAAAAATATAATAAAACCAAGTATGCATTTAATAATAATTTCTTTCAAATAATATTATAGTAATACTAATTTCCCGATATAGATTAAATTTAATTTATATATTACTACATTTCAATTCAATTAAAACTATTTTCCAGTTATAGATTAAATCTTATTTATATATTACTAAATATTAATTATACTAATAATAACAATTTCAATTATTAATAAATACTTTAAACAGAAAATAAAATAAAAATGGTAAATATACTTAATATTTTTAACCAAAATAAAGTAATTAAGTAACAATATAAATTGTAATAATAATTTTAATATAATTTAAAATAAAATATAATAAAAACGAAATTAATAGATATGTATTTTGTAAGAATCTAGAAAATAGAGCATTAAAGTTTATAGGTGTTTCAAAATGATAAGACTGAATATTTTAATGTTAAAATAATTTAATGATATAAATAGAATTTTATAAACTTGTCTCGTTATCTAAAACACTCGTCATCTCTCTAGAACTCTTTGTTTGAGTTTTCTCTCCCTACTCTCTAAGATTTCTGACTCCTGAATCATCTGTTTGACGATCAGAAAGCGTCTAGGAGATCACAACAGTGTATTCTCCATCATCAACTGATCAATTTTGCTTGTAGAACAAATAAGTTTATGCTCCTTTTTTCTTAAATTCTTAGTAGAAGTTCATGCGTAGGAGTTCCTTCGCATGTGTCATTTGAGTCCTTTTCTAGCTTTTCATTGATCAGAGGTCCTAAGGACTTGCTCTAATCATGTTTATATGATTTGTAGATTTTTCTAAAGTTTTTGAACTTGAAGCAAGGGTAGTGAGCTATATAGACCTATGTTTCCTATTAAGTTAAGAAAAGCTAATGTTTTCTTTTAATTTGAGTTATGAATTATGGACTGATAGTTAATAGTTTGTGCGTTGAATGTATATTGATTTTTATGCTTGAAATGAATGTCTTTAGTAGTACGCTTGTTTGAATGATTGGACTTGGTTGCATACTTCTGGTTGAATGTGATTTAATTTTGTGAATGTTGTTGTTGCGAAGTTGGTGGTGTTATTTTGGTTAAAATGTTGAGGAGAAATGGACACTAGTAAAAAAAGGCTTTTTTAACGCGCTATATATGACTCGGTTCTACTGAAACCGAAGGGTATAAAAGTGCGGTGACATTTCGATAAATATTGAGCAGTTATATGCCTCGGTTATATTTGAACCGATGCCTATAGATGTTACTGTCTCGAGTAAAAGGCCAACCGAGGCATATAATATAAATTTTAAATGGTTTAGGCACCGATTTGTTGTGTAATTGATGCAATTAAAGGGTTTAGGCACCTATTTTAAATATAACCAAGGTAGTATACCCTTAGGTTAATATCAAAAACCCTCTCTCAGACTCTCGCACTCTCGCTCTCATCTCTCGCGTTCTCGCTCTCATCTTTGCCTCCCTCCCTCCATCACGATTTCTTCTCTCCACCAAACCCCATCATCAGACCACCACCATCACCAGCCATTACGGTCGCCGCAAGCACCGCCGCTCAACCACGCCGCGACCACCATCTTCATCTTTTCACGCCACACGAATAAGGTTTTTTCTTCCTCCTCGAGCATCGATAGCTTTCTTCTTCCTTCTCCACGCCACCTTTCGCCTCGCCGCCATCGGGAGCCACCACTACCTCGTCGTGTGCGGCTTCCAACTCGCCTGCGACTGCATAGCCTTTGGAGTGAAGAGCAAGCGGTGGCCGATCCAGATCCAGATCCCAATCCCATTTCTCTCCCTTTTCTTTTTGTTTCTCAGATGGTGTTGTTCGTGGACCGCTTGGTGCGGCCCGTGCTAGTGGTGGAGTCGCTGGCCTAGCACCCGCTTGCCGCTTGTCGTCGGGAGCCGCTTCCCGCTTGACGCTTGTCGTTGACGATTTTCAGAAACTGGGAAATGGGGTTTGAGGCTGGGTTTCAAAAGTATGAATCCCTGGTTTCTTTGATTTTTTTTTCCATTTGTTATATGCTCTGTAATGTATCTGAACTATTATTTTCTGATTTTCTGATGTGATCTGAACTTTGATGCTCTGTAATGATTTTCGGATTCTATTTTCTGATTTTTTTTTTCCATTTGTTATATGCTCTGTAATGAAGAACATTGATTCTTTCATCCCAGTGGCTTTTGTTATATGCTCTGTAATGTATCTAAACTTTGATGCTCTGTAATGAATCCCAGCAGGTTCAGCAGTTTTTTGAATTTTTTTTTATTGAATTTTCTAAGATACGGTCTCGGTTCAAAAGAGGACCGAGGCGAAAACCGATCCCTTTTTGACTCGGTTCAGAACCGAGGCATTAAGCTTACCCTTTTTTACCTCGCCTGTATATGCCTCGGTTGCAGAAGCGGTGCCTATAAGCGAAATTAACCGATGCCATTTTCCTTTATTGCACTAGTGGGGTCAGTAGCATTATAGTTCATTTTTGGTCAAAAATGAAGTTTTGTATGTGACTTTTAGAAACAATGGTCTAAGGGGAGAAATGGTGAATTAGGACTGGTTGTATGGTTCTTTGAAACTTGTTTGAGATGTGAGTTAGTAGTTATGTGATTTAGAATATGATGGTAGCCAATTGGTTGTGTTTTGAATGGTTTTAAGTGCATTTTTAAAGATTTTGAGTAATAAGCTTTTAAAGTAGAAGGTTTGAGGTAAAAGAGAGTGTTTAGAGTTTGTATTTGGATAATTTTTGACTTATTCATACTCCTAAGTTGTTAAGTTATGTGTTAGTAATGATAGAATTTATTTAAGGTCTATATAATGGAGTTTTAGTTGGATTGAATTGGAATTTCATGTAATAACTCTTATATAATATTTATATTATTTAAATGAGATAGTACATATTTAATAATAATTTTATTCAAATAAAACTATATTAAAACTAATTAGATTAAATCTAATTTATATATTACTAAATATTAACTATACTAATAATAATAATTTCAATTAATAATTAATTGTTTAATCATGAAATAAAATAAAAATTGATAAATATAATTAAAAAGTTTTAAAAAACATTAATAAGTAATAAAATAAATTTTGATAACAGTTTTAATTTAATTTTAAAAAATATAAAAAATTGGAAATATAAGATATTTATTTGATAATAATTTCTTTCAAATAAAACTGGATTAAAATTAATTTGCTGTGATAGATTAAAACTAATTTATATATTACTAAATAGAAATTATACTATTAATAATAATTTTAATTAATAATTAATAGTTTAATCAGGAAATAAAATAAAAATCATAAATATAATTAATATTACATAGTTATAATTTTTTTATTTGTGAAACAACTTTTTACATTATTATTTTCTCTAACAAATAAGAACATACAATAAAAATAAAATACAACAAAACTTATCTTTATTTTTGGATAATAAAAATTAAAGTAAAATCTTATAATATTGTGAAGTGAAGATACATACATATTTGAAATAGTTATAAATAAGTACATAATCTTATAAAAATTATTTTTATTATTAAATATTAAATAGTATTAGAAAAATATCCTTAGATTCATGGTACAAAGATTAGTTCTACAAAATTTAGTACCGGTCAACTATATAAAAAAGAGACGTATTTTCTCATAATCGTTTTTTGACGTTTTGCATTAACTTATTTTCTTTTTATCAAATAAAAGTAATTTTATTATTTGATAAAAATACAGTAATTTTAATAAAGAGATTCCATTTTTGTACATATATTTTTTTCCAATTTCATCTTTTAAATAATAACTATTTTAAATTAAAATAATTATATTTTTATCTTTACTTTTTCAATAATTGTTAACTTAAATTTAATTATTTTTTAAATTAAATTCATTATTTTACCATTTTATATTTTAAATTATATTTATTTAAATTCAATTCTTTAATCAAATTAGTTATTAAAAAAAAAAGACACACACACGTACACGTATTTTTACTAGTTGTTACTAAAATAAATTTGTAATCATAGAAAAGTTAAAAAAAAAATGCATTTTTCGCAAGAATTTAAAAGAATTGACGGGGAAATTTCGAACACAATCTACTTCAAGTAAAACATAACTATTTCTACCCATTAGGTAAATCAGTGCTTCATTTGTCTTCTGATGACAGTAAATCAGTGTTTACGCAGTGTATATCAAACAGAAAAAGTATATCTATTATTCTTATTTTTTTGAATTTTGTTTCCAATCAAATATCGAGAAAATCCATTGGTAAAGAAACTCACAACCAATAACCAATAACCATTCAACACGGATTAGGGGCGGCCATGGGTGAATCGTCGGAAGATTTCTCGGTGGTGGTTTTGGCGTCGGACCTCGGCGTCGATGCGCGACCCTTCCTTGAACATCAACAGCAACAAGAAGAAGAGAATTGGCATGACTGTTCTCAATATCTCTTCCCCGATGAAGATTTCTCCGATCTCGATCAGTTGCAATTCCTCCTCCTCCAAGGCACCGACAAAAATTCCAACCGCATTCTCCGCATCGTCGGCAAGTACTTCCCAGGTATTTTACAGTTTCCTCAATCAACTCAACTTAATTAATTAACTAATTAACGTGCTTTCATATTTTAGGGTTTCTTCGCTGGTTAAGATGTGTTTTATGTTAGAATATTAGGTCTCTTTTGGTTCTAGTAGTTTGCTTCACTAGTGAGATTTGATGTGTTACATCTAGATGTTAGTCAAACTAGTTTCTGTAATTTTTTCGGAAAAACACTGGGATTCAGCACTTGAATTATAGAGTCACGAATTCGTGGTCTGTTACGCAATAACGTTATTCCACCTTCTTATTTGTTCTTCTTTTACATGTAAATTTCACTGTTGTTTTCGTTTGATCTTCTATTTATGTATTTCTGATGTTTGGTCCGCCGTGAGGTTGTCTGGCTCTGTCTAGGAGGATAAGAACACAACTCTATGTCTCAAACAATGAGAAAAAAAATGGAGAAGAGAAAGAAAGTTAATAATTGAATTAAACCTCTAGGACTCACAAAGGGTGGCTCAAGTGCTAGTAGCTTAGGTCTTTAAGCATATTAGAGGGGTTTGATTCCTAGCTGTGTGAATAGAGCAGCACGTGTGAAGAGAGAAGTTGCACCTTAATATGTACTCGACTGGTTTCATGGTTTCTGGCTATGGGGATACGTTGCTTTCAAGAAAAAAAGAAGCTACAGCGATGTAAATCCCTATTGTATCTTTTGGCGAAGTTGTTTTGAAATCTGTATTACTTCTGTTCCATTGATTTGGTACTGAAGTGCTTTTTAAATGGTGTGCAGCAACTGTTGTAAGTGCAGAACGACTGAAGAGATATGTGTTTCACAAGATCTGCAGCGAATTGCCGGATGAGCCATTCTGTATTGTTTACATGCACACAACCGTTCAGAAAGAGGATAATTCCCCTGGTATAACGATCTTAAGGTGGATTTATGAAGAACTTCCTGCTGATTTCAAGGACAGGCTTCAAACTGTGTATTTCATCCACCCTGGCCTTCGGTCCAGGCTAGTCATCGCTACTGTTGGCCGCCTCTTCTTGAGTGGAGGGTAACTCATCTTCTATTGACTCTTAACACAAATGAACATTTCAAAGCATTCTATTAAGGAGTATAATTTAGGTTGTATTTGGATAAACTTATAGGAGAACAAAATTAAAAGTGAAATGAATAAATTTCTTTAGTTAAAATTAACTTTAGCACTTCAGCTTTTGAAGAAAAAAATTAATATATTTACTTGGCTTATGCAAGTAGGGTCATAGTTGTATTCCAACATTTATGATTTCGTCAGTTACATTGATTGACCCACTATCACTTGTTACACTAATCCTATTTTGATTTTGATTCTCTTTGTTATTGATATAGATTATATTGGAAGATCAAGTATGTAAGCCGGCTTCAGTATCTCTGGGATGATATAAAGAAAGGAGAGATAGAAATACCGGATTTTGTGAAAAATCATGATGATATTCTTGAGAATAGACCACTCACAGATTATGGTATTGAACCTGATCCCTTTCACTTGACTGGGATGCCTTCATCTACCTACTCATTTGGAAAGTACGAGGAGAGATGGGCGGGAAGGGATTATGTGTCGTAGTATGTGTATTGCCTCGTTTCATGAGATGAACCTGAACCTTTGTACAGAATGAATGTGGTATTTGTATTTCTGAAACTCATCTTTGAGTTTCTTTGTTTTCGGTCGTGGAGCTAAACCTGACTGTGTACGAATAGAACTACATGTTTTCTATGCCACAGGAAATGTATTTCTGTAGATTAATCTACAGCATAATTCCTTGTTCATATGTTGAGATACTTTTGAATTACTGCTCCCCATATGGTATTACTGGCTCTGGTTTGGCAAGACCCGACTGATGCGTCTTCTTAACCCTTGTTTTCTGTCACCGGAATATGAATGATGTATTTTGAGGATACTATTCGTCTTTCTATCGGGCTAATGGTGGTTTATCGGGCTAATGGTGATTTGGCTGGTTACTTCACTATGTCCTTTCATTGATATAATTCATTTTCATCCGCAGTTTCTTTTCTTTCATCCATTTTTTATTTGCAGAATCAACCAACCTACTTCATTTATTTTTCTGATTGATTTCATTACACTTATTTGAGTATGGGAATGTGGGACGAAGATTACCAAGCCTGAAAGACGTTAAGTTGTACATGATAACATTGGCGGGTTAGCATATTTGCTTTATTTATGTGCAGTTGTCAGAGTATTAAGCAACTTTTGTGATCTAAGCATTAACATATTATTGTAAAAAGTTTTCATGGAATGTGTAAATATTTATTCCTATAGTTTAAATATTAATTAGTATACTTTACTCAAAGTGCTATGCCATCTTTTCCTTTTGAACTCACAAGATATATATTGCAGAGAAGCAAACCTGCAGAGACATTTCCTAAGCACTCTTGTATAATCCATACAGACATAGCAGCAGGAAAACCCTTACCATATGTTTATACACATGCTTACTTCGGTACATGTTTCAAACTTAAGTCTTTTAAAATAACAAATCAATAACTGCATATGAAGTGTATTGTTTGTTTTAGAATCTTAAATTTATGACATGGTTTGATATTTAAAAAACGTCTTAAAAGTTAAAAGAAAATAAATTTAAATTGTTTTTAACTTTAATTTTTTATGTAATTTTAAAAGGATAAATATTTAAGTTGTATTTTCAAGTGGGAATAACTTCTGAAACTCCATTTTCATCATATTAAATGTCAATAATCAATCAAAACATCTCATATTCAATGATCCTGGATAAAATCTAAAACTGCTGAAGAGGTCACAAACAAATGGCATACTACAAATACCAACAAGGACTGAAATATTAACTCCGTTGAAACCATTCTTCGTCTTGGTCACATATCTTCCTCTATTTTGGTTGAATTCTAAGATCAAGAAATAAAATATAATTCAGTATTTTTGGAAACAATAAGAAAAGTACCATATATCACATGTCACTTATTTTACATACATTATACAATAAAAGTAATCTACGTACATATATTCATTAACATTATTAATTCATACCCTTCAACTAATAATAAGATCAAGTTAAACAAGTAATTAAATAAACATAACCTACTTTTTAATCTTTACAATTAACAAAAAACATTCTATAGAAAAAATTGAAAAAATCGGTTTAGTGTGATCACTTTGCTTAAGCCATATTTTTTAATTGAAACTTGATTTCTTTTAAGTGTCATATCACTTAAACAAAGAGAAATTGTTCGAATGAAAATATTTTACTTAAGTAAATAGTTCCAAATTTGAACAATATTAGCTCACTTGGGTGAGAGCTATGGATATAAGAATTTATAATTTGGAATTAAAAAAACTTCGATTTATAACATATATCAACTTTCAACTCAAAATTAAATGCAATTTATCAGTTTCTATAATAGAATCCCTCTCTAAATTAACACGACTCAATTTATTATTTTAGATAACAATTTTCAAGAATATACAACAACTCTCAAATTATATTTATATTTTACTTATTTATGAATTAACTTAGAAATACCAATCAATCAAATTAATTTTTTCGAAGATAGATTATTTCAATCCAACGTATTATCAGACCAAATTATTCATATAAAAAAATCAATCATCCACACAGTCTTCATAACAAAAATCCATTATCCATTGGAGATTTACAAGTATATATTAAGTCATCAAGTAAACCATTCACAATCTCGGAATAGAAAAAAAAATTATAAAAATTACTAGTTTTTTTCATTTATATATTTTGCATGTAAGGATATATTTTCATCATTTTATCCAATTGCAAATTATATCCTAATTTGAAAATTTTGAACAAAACTAGCTTCTCATATCTTGAACTTCCTTTAGAGATTTAGAAAAATTATTTGAATCATAAAAGCTCTATAATAATCTCAAGATTCTAACTCTAGTGAAAAACATCTCAAGGTTAAGTTAGAAGATCAAATCTCTCTAACGGTTGACACCGTTAATTCTGTTAGAATTATTGCTTAGAAGCAGTAATCTTTAAGATTTTTTATGTTTTTCAGTTTTTCCTTTTCCCCTTCTTTTAGGTTTACAGATTTCCTTTTCTACATGTACATGCAACCAGACAAAGCTTATTTTCACAGACTCAAGTCTTTTAAAAACAACATCGTTGGAATTAAAAAATGCATACGAAGTATTATTTGTTTTCAAATCTGAAATTTTTGACATGGTTTGATATTCAAAAAGATGTCTCAAAAGTTGAAGAAAGAAAATATATTTAAATTATTTCTAACTTTGATTATATATTACGTTGCATGAGATATTAGAAATATTAGAATAGTATAAATTTAAGTTGTATTGATATTTCAAGTGGGAACAACCTCTGGAACTCCATTTTCATCATATTAAATGTCAATAATCAATCAAAACATCTCATATTCCATGATCCTGGATAAAATCTAAAACTGCTAAACAGGTCACAAACAAATGGCGTACTTCAAATATCAACAAGGACTAAAATATTAACTCCATTGTTACGAAGAATAGAAAACAGAAAGGAAAGACAAGGACTGTGATTTATTGAGAATAGATGATCACTAATAATAATACATAGATAAAGTATATTACAACCACTTGATTACAGGGTAAAGCAAATACATATATGATGAAATCCAACTAACACTCAAACACTATCAAACAGGAAAGAAGCAGTAATATGCCAATATAGTATCCTGAACTCTAGTTCAGCAGCATTCTTCACAAAGCCAGCAACAACACAGAGCGAAGAGGCTGCATCATAAATAAGAATTTTCAACAACAAAAAAAAGATATCAATCGAATAAATTTAAATGCTTTCTGATAAAATATGCTGATCTGATCCAACTCCAGGTCATAGTCTAGTATTCTGGCAAACAGTTTATGGTGTTTATGGAAACAGTTATAGATTATAGTACTTATCGTTATATATCATGTTTTCCATGCAGAATATATAGCATATGTGAGTGTATTAATGTAATCATTATGCAATTCAGTAGATATGCTTACCATCCCTCGATGAAGCCCCTATCACCTTTCTTCTTGGAAGCAGAGAAGAACTTTCTTTTGGCGGGGGGATTCTCAGATGGGTATCCTGAAATCATAGGAAAATGAAAAGTGAGTTATGTAACATCTTCAAGTTAAGTAGGTTGTGTTTGTGCATATTTGCTACAAAGAAATTAAGTAGAGGAACCTAAGGGAGGTTGGTTTCCCTGTGTCTCTGCCTTCTGCATTTTGCAGAAATAATGTAAACTGTCTTCTGTAAGCACTTTTGATTATACTTCAATCAATGTCTGTGTCAATATTGAGTGGAACTGTATAATGCTGATCTTTACACTCCTCAATATGTTTATATACTTCCACTACTGATATATATATATATATATATGGGGAAGAGAGAATTCTCTGTGTGAAAACAGTATCATATCACTTATTATTTAGTTTTTTGAAGAGTCCAATAGAATTGTGGAAAAGAAAGGTTGATTAAACTGTGCAAGAATTTTGACAAGAACTTTTATCTCTTTGTATGAATTTGAATTCAATTTTTCTTACATCAACCTTTTCAATTTGATGGATAATCTTTTAATATATCTTCCAATGTCCAGAAACTAATCGATTAACTGCAATTGAAACTGTCTGTAGTTCGAATTTGGACAATAATTCTCTAAATTTCCATTTTCGAGTGTTGTGAATAATTTTTTTTCTCATGAATTTGAACATAATTATTATAGAAATCACCAAATTTGTTTTAAATTAAATCTTCAGTTCAGTTTATATTTGTTTATAATTTAGATTGGAGAACCTTTATCTTTTGTAGGTGGTTTTGTCTAATCGTTCACACGGCCTTTTGTGAACTTGACTTTTCGGAGTGAATGTTTTGAAATGCCACTTTCAATATTAATAATTCCGAACTTTTCAGTTTTCACTGCATCTTTCTGTTCTTAAATGGATTCCTATTAGAAAAGAACACAGAAACAAGTTGAGTCTAGATTGAAAGACAAATGAGATTTATCTAAGGAAACAAAATAAAAGTAGCCCTTTTATTCTTTTTTTACGGATTCTGAAGTTTGATCCTTTGCTTAGCCCAAAGGACAAAACAAAAAAGCATTAAAGAGCACGTTATAGAAGAATAAAGGAACATAAATGCCTAATATATATGCTTACTTTGTCAAACATTTTATACTTGTTTGCGTATGAAAGCCACTTAGATGCCAATAAATTTCTGTCAAGAATATATTCCTTACAACTATGGGGAAGAATATGTCAACAATTTAGACATAATGTTAGGATTTAATTGGTGAGAAGTGGCCGAGGTTCATTCGGTTTTTCGACAAAAGCAAAATCAGGATCAGTATTAGTGATAATTAAGGAGATAAACTTGTTTTATATATATATGTTTACATGCAAGAAGAAAAGGACGTGTGGAAGATCAACTTTAATAGTTTTGTTTAGAGATTGATCTTTCATGTTACACTTAATTTGAGATTAGTACAAAGTTTCACATTGACTAAAAATAAGATCAATTTATAATATATAAGTGATAACAAATCTCACCTTGTGTCAATTAAAAAAGTACCCATATCTGTTCCAATTTTGACATAACAAAAGAAGATCTACATAGAAATCACAACAATATTATTACATATGATTATAAGTAAAATCCTTACTATGTAGAACTAACTTACAATATATAGAATTACGACATACACTACATGAAATGAAATGTTGCTTTCGATATTAAATTGTTATATCATTAGCAATCCTATAAATAAAATCGAGAATGTTAAATTCTTC